GGTTCGGATCTATATGGACGACATTTTCCTGATATCATTACTGCTGTGAAAAAAAGGAAGACTGTGTTTTGCTGAAAACAGATTCTGTCCAATGATGAGTGTCATGTATCTGTTGTAATTTCTATGGAAATAAATAGGTGACATTATTTTTGGTGTAATCATGGCGTTTGTCTGCATGTGTGTATTAGGCGTCTGTACTTATTCATGGTATCTTTAAATAAAACCTTTTTGTTTATATATTTGAAATAGTCAGAAATTATACATACACATTTTTATTCACATCCATTTCTGTGTTAATCTGTATTGGGTTGAATCATTATGTTTGCATTGTGTACGAGCATAAAATGCACACTTAAATAATGGTGTGTACATGAGTTTGCCTGCTGATACTCAATGCTGCATTCTGTCCATTTTGATCTTTTAAACAGATCAGCTGCATTGAATGAAAGATTGGTTTGTGTTCTTGTTTCTTTTATGCAAGCCAACTTCATTATGAGGTTTGTTAATCCAGCAAAAATGGTGGCTGCAATTAATTTTCAGTCCCTGATGAGTGCGTCTCCATTATTTGTGCACCCTATTTTATATTTTTGCCTTTCAGTTCTCTATTATAAGTTTTGAAACTACATACATTTAACCGTCTTTTTGTTTTTTTAATTTTTCCCTTCATAAACGCTATGGTCTATGGAGGCTTGTTTAGAGACCATGTTAATGGCCTTTTAAGCTTCCTTCACGTGAATTGCAAATTTGAATTTTGAATATGTAAGAGATAAATATTTGGGGGGTGGGAATCAGAATTTTAGAAATACCAAAGTGGGGCATGGCCCCAAATCGGTTGGGAACAACTGTTTTAATGACTTGTTGATGCCATTTTTGTAGAAACTTCGTGTTTTTGCTGGAAGTAAGTTGTGAAGTAGTTTTCGACTGACTGTAAATAAGTCAAATTTTTTGTCATTTAAATTATTCTGTCGAGACCGAAACAAACGGAATTCCGAACGAGTCAAGGCAGGAGAATGTGTTGGGGGTTGGCAAGTTTCCCATTTCAACTCTTCAAATTTCTGCAACGTTTGTTTTGTCACATGCGCTTTTCTGCTGTCGATGACACCTATTCAATCTGCCAAAATCGTCTGTTTTTCTTGAATAGCCACACTGAGATTAGTGAGTTGGTCGCAATACTTTTTTGCAGTTATTGTTTTGCCAGTTGGAGGTAGCAAGTCAATAAAGCCACTAAGACACAAGGGGTTACTTAGTGTTAAATAATATGAGAGAAAAAAACATTAAGAACAATAAAAGAACAATAATTAAGAAGATGGAAGATAACACTTGATATTCCATTTAAATTGTTGAAGGTCAACTTTGACTGAAGTCAGAAGTGAAATAGAAGAAACTGTTAACATAGAACTTCCGGTTACATCTAGCTTTTTCAGCAATGATCTTGTTACTATCTGGGACTGCACTTAAATTCATAAAGTTTAGTTACTATGAAGAAAAGTTCATTAGAACAATTACCATGAAAGTATTTATGGAAAAGGTAGAGGGAAGCAACGTTACGGGTGTTGGAAAGTGAGTGAAGATGAGATGCCAGATCAAGATCAGTAACATTGCAGATTCGTTTTTAGATTTTATCAAGAATCTCTAAATGATAGTTTGAGAACCAGATGTAACAGCAATATTCAAGGCAAGTATGAATGGTTGACTTACAAATATATGATAGATTTTGGTGAGAAATATTATTTAGGAGGATACAGTAAATCAATTATCCTAGCAGCAGACCTAGAAATTGATCTAATATAATCTTTTCACATTATGCTAGTGGAAAACATTAACCTTAGAAGGTGCATGTAGGTAGCTCAAAGTGATCCCTCTGCAATCCCACCAAACAGACTGCAACACCTTCGTTGGCTGCAAGTCTGCTTTAGTCCCCGTTCTGCACATTCACAAGCTTGTGTTCAGCTTCGTTTACATCGAACGTTATCATAAACAATCCATTTTTCATCGCCTTTGACAATTCTATCCAAGAACGGATCCTTTTTATTGCACAACAGCAAAGAAATTACTGTAGAAAAACAATTGAGCTTATTCCGTTCCATCAGAGAATTCGGTACCTACGTGTCTGCTTTAGAAACGAACCATGGTGATAGGTAGTTGGGATATCGATTTAAAAACTATTAGCAATCTCTTCTGCCGAAATTATTCTTCACGTTGGCAGGCAGAGGGTCTTCATCGACGTCGGAAGGTCACCCGGGGCGAGGTTGATCGTTTAGGTGAAACTCACCCTGCCACATCACTTTCTGATCGTCTGAAGAGCTGAAACATGATCCAAATAAATCTTCTGGATGTTTAGAATTGCATTTCCGACGCTTACTCCTTTTCGGGAATTCATGGAGCATAATATGTCGAAAAGTGCAACTTTGCTTCGTCCATCTTTAAGGCATTTATTTGTGGAGAAAGTTTCAACAAAATTTGACTCGCCACTGAACGAAGCAAAGTTTCAATCTCAAACACATCAGAAATTGGCACCAAGGCAAACACCTGTGCCAAGTTACGGTTATTTTGTTAACGAAAATCGGACGCAAACTTTTGCAATGATCTGATAATATAATCAGAAAAAGATGCATTGAAAGTGACCTGTAAGTGACCTGAATACGTTTTGAAAAGTTTGATCATTCGCAGTTCCACACAAATCAGTTTTGCATTTCAGTTGAATTTTTTATTTTTTATAAAGTAAAAATGTATAATATGCAAAAAAAAAACCCAAAAAACTCTTACTTATCTTCTCTTTTCAATGTTTGAATGAATAAAGAAAAATACGCTAATTCTAAAAAATTTAATAAAAAAGTGTTTTTTTTTTTTGTTTTTAATAAATTTAGTTAAAACTAAACGCCCCTAATGCCATCTAAGGAGAAACATAAAATGCTATCTTTGAACAACCCAATAAATTCCAATTTCTGATATCTTAGTGTGGTAGAGTAATTGTAGCTTATAAAACAGATAAATATTTAGTTCCTATCAGCATAATACACAAACCCAGAAAAATATGAGGTAAATGATTCTAAATGTGACATTGGAGTAGATTTAACAGCCTCGCTGTAATGTTTCCAGAAATGATTAAAGTTGAAACTTTCCCGACACACACATATTAACATCGCCAGATCGGAAGATGCTGATTTCACCAGACAGCTTGAAAGAATTTTAATGTAGGACCCTCGAAAATATATGGCGGCCCCATAGCATTTGCTACTTTGGGGTCTTGATTAAACTGGCACTGTATTAAGGTTAGTATCAATCTTGAATGCTCTTTTAAGATTAGAGTAAATTGCATGAGTCTTGATTTGAATGACTTCATCAAGGCATTGACAAGAGGTTTGAAATAAATTAAAAACTGCACTAGGAGTTAACATGAGAAGCGCAACGAAACATTCACAGAAAATGAAAATGCACACGATCTGCTTCCAAGGGATTGAAATATTTAGATATCTCAGACCCATAGATGTGATTCTCTGTGAACATTATTCCAGACATGAAAAGTTCTCCAAGAAATTCTTTAGAGTTTTACATTAAAGCGAAAATCTGGTTCCTGTACGGTTTTTAAATCGCAGACTTACTATCTTGTTCCATGTCGTGCTTGGTGATCCTACTTATTTACTGAACTTGCTTCAACAAATTGCATTTTTTTTTCTATTTGTTTAGAAAAAAAACAAGACGAATTCTTCTTTGCACATATTAATAGTGGCAATGTTATCACGAAAGGCTATTATTTTTATCAGTGTTTATTTAGATTTCTTTCTTTGTTTTCCTTTATATTTTTTGCATTTTTAGTTTGTTTTTTCTTTCTATTTTTTCTTTTTCTTTTCTCATTCTTTCTTTCTTCAACTTTTGGTGTATTATCCTATTTTTTTTTCTTTTACCTTCTTTCTATGCTTTCATTCCCCAGGCCTATTTTTCCTTCCTAAACTTATTTTTCACTATTTAATTTTTATACTGTTTCTTTAAATTATATTCCTTTTCTTTTTCTTTCATTTACACGTTGGATTTTTTGTGCATCTACCTATTCCTATAAATTTACTTTCTATCTCCTAAAATATATTTTTTTTCATTCTTTCTTTTTTTTCTTTCATTCTTTCTTTTTCCCTTCTTGCTTTCATTCTTTATTTTTTTTCCTTTTATTCTTTTGCGTTCTTTTTTTCTTTCGCTTTCTTTCTTCTTTTCTTTCTTTCTTTGTTTTCCTTTTATTCTTTTGCGTTCTTACTTTCTTTCTTTTTCCTTTCTTTCTTTTTTATTCTTTTACTTTCTTCTTTCTTTCTTTTTCTTTTATTCTTTTGCTTTCATTTTCTTCCTTTTATTATTTTGCATTCTTTCTTTTTCGCTTTCTTTCTTTGTTTTCCTTTTATTCTTTTGCGTTCTTTCTTTCTTTCTTTGTTTTCTTTTCATTCTTTTAATTTCTTTCTTTCTTTTCCTTTTATTCTTTAGCTTTCTTTCTTTCTTTGTTTTCGCCTTATATCTTTTTTTTCTTTTCTTTCTTTCGTTCTTGGTTTTTTTTCTGTCTTTCTTTTATCTGTCTTTCTTTTACTTTTTTTCATTCTTTCTTTTTATTTTCTTTCATTTTTTCTTTTCTGTCTTTCTTTTTCTTTTCTTTCTATTTTCTTTCATTTCTTCTTCTTCTTTCCTCCTCCTCCTCCTCCTCTATTAACATTGGCGGTTTCCAAAATGGCTATAAACATTTCGATGTTCTCTTTCGAAAATGATTTTTATGCTAGAAGAAATAATTCTTTTTCTTTTTTTTCTTTTTTCTTTTTTTCTTTTTTGTCATTATTTCCCAGGTGAGACTTATGTAATAGGAAATCAATTATATGAAACCTCTTCATCAACAACAACACGCTTGATCCCAACATTCTCTGTCTGAATTGATCCTTCCTCTTCATCTCCACCATTGTCGCCATTACAGGCTTTGCTCTTGGGGTTTAGAAAGTCGCTGGAAAAAGTTATCACATTGTCTTATGTCTCTAATAAGAAACTGAAAAGAGAAACAAAAAAAATGTGAATGAACAAAATATAATCACAAAAAGGAAGGAGTGAAAATAAAATAAAGCATTATAACAGCGAGTAGAAGCGAGAGAATAAAGGTTGGAGAGAGAGATTTTAACGACAAAGACGAGGAGGAAATGGAAGAAAGGAAAAGTGAAAAAGAAGTAAAGATGTAGGAGAGTGATTTCAGGAGGAGTAGAATGAGGAAAAGACTGAATAGGAGAAGGTGAGGGTAGCTGAAGCTGAAGGGTCGAAGTATGAGGGAGTAGAGAAAAATGATCTAAAGTAATGATATTAAAATGGAATAAAAAGTGGAAAATGAAGGAGGGAAAAGAGGAGAGAGAGGACAGGAATTTAAAGAATATGAGGAGGTAAAAAAAATAAAGTAGTGATTTGAAACGGAGTAAACGAAGAAAAATAAAGATAGTGTGAAGGAGGAAAAGGAAGAGGAGAAGTAGTTGTAAAACGAGTGAGAAATAAAATAGAAAAATGAGAAGAATAAAAAGGAAGACGACGACGAAGAGAAATCTTATTTAACGTGAAGTGAGGTTAAAATGAAATCGAAGATCTATAAAAGAAGAAAATGGTAGAAAAAAAATAGAAAAGAGGGACATGAAGAAGAAAAAGAAGAAGAAAAAAGAACAATATTAAAAAATAGTTTTAAATAAAATTACTTTGTCGAAACAGCGATAGTGAATATAAAAATCAAACGAAAAATTTAGTTATCTTTAAAAAAACGATATTTTGAAAAGAAAACTTTAAATAAAGATTACTAATACTTTACTCTAACCATTACTACAAAAACAACATTATTCTACTTTTTCTACTACTAATAATACTATCATTACTACTACGGCTAATACTACGTTAACAAACAATTACTTTTACTGACATGATTTCTCCTTCTATCATAACTACTATTACGATTACCATTACTAATAAATTATTAGTACTAAGTACTACTACTAACTTTTTACTACTATAACGACGACTGAATATTACTACCAAAAAGAATTACTACCATTATACTATAACCATTAATACCATTATACTATAACTATAGCTAATAATACGACTATTTCCATTAATTCTAGTGTCTTATAACACTAGCTCTTATATTATTACCAATCAGTCAGTTATGTATAATACACGCTTAGACGATCATGTATTTTTCGATACATGACTGACGAGGCAGACTTTTACCCGCTGTAGGTTGCCATTTCTTTCTGCGGTAGACCAGTTGTCATCCAAGGCTATGGATTATAGATTATAGAACCCGGTCTGTCCTGCTATTTACCCACAGCTGGGGTGGGGAGAAGAGGATTCATACCTTTCGCAAGGGTATTAGCATGTAAGTGAATGTAATGGATTTGAGTGGAGTTCGAACTTAGCTCTCCGATTTCTCAATATCGAACCGCCATCCATTACTCCGCCGTATTCGTAATAATGATGATCATGATGCTCATGAACATTGATGAAAATATGAAAATACAGAAGAGGTCAAACAAAAAAATGACCCGATAAAGAATACAAAGGAAAACTCCATAAATTTAAAACATAAATAAAAACATGAATTATAGAGAAATGGAAGTGAAGGCGTACTTGAGAGAAAACAGAAAAAGTTTGAAAGAAAATTAAATTTTCACAATTAAAGACAAAGTTTTCATCCCCTAAAAAAAATACTTTTAAAAATTTTTTTTAAAATTCGTGAAATTTTACATAAAGAAATATAAATAAATAAAATGCTAGCTTAGCAAGATCGAAGTCAGATCAAATTTTAATCACTCCCCACTAATATTTTATCACCCTCCACCTAGATCTTTTTCTTCTGCACCATTGGAAAATTACCACCTTCCTCGACTGCCGACACACCCACCCTTACTTATTTTCCTATCTTTCCCTGATCAACCCGTTCCCTTCCGACCCCTAAGGACACAGATCACTAATTCATGGGTTCGTCTATCGCCATCGTACGAAGCGTTGTAACTTTTTCGAGTTGAATAATTAATGAAGCAGGACCGGGCCTTTTGCCAATTTAATCAACTCCTTTGTTGTTTGTTTGAGTTTATCACTAACAGAGCGTCCTGTTCTTTTTTAGTGAAAAGAAACCAAAAAACATAAGGCGAAACGGTTTTGAGTGCAAAAACATCGAGAGAAAAAGAGAAGCGTGTCTTTTCCAGCATTGCTTAAATTAAAATATCTTTTCGGATAAATTTCTCGAATAGCTTATATGTGAGAGTTTATGAGGTGGACAATCATGACCCAAACCATCATCTTCTCGACCTCCATATTTCAACATATTC